TTCTCACTCTTTGCAGATGTTGTGAGAACTGAGAATCGCAATGGCTACGCTGATGCAGAGTGTCAAACAGAGGTCACCGTTTGTTCAGCGTCGGAGCTACAGAGAGTGAAGGCCCAACTTCGCAGCGTGAAGCAACAGCTTCAGTCATGTCAGCGGAAACTCACAAAAGCGGAGGCGCACGCGAATAGAAAGAATGGAGTGTATGCAGATATTCACAAGCTTTCAGACCGCGAGAAGCTCATTATAGACCAGTGCATCATGAAAGCAAATATGAAGTCTGCGAAAGCAGCACGGTAAGATCCGGTTTGTAAAGTTTGTGTGTGTGTGCAATTTTATGTGAAGTGCGATGTTCGGTGCGCATTCGTTTGCTTTCTGGATATTGACAGAAACTACTAAGTGAAGCCGTGGGACAAAACGCAATATTTTGTTTTACTTTGATGGTGCTGTTTGCTTGAGCTGTAGCAGAATCGTGACCACAAAAATTGCATTTTATTTATTGCAGGTATAAAAAGGAATGGCTTTACGATTGTTTACTGCTGAAAATCAAATCCACAGCAGTTTATACATTTCTTCACGAGAATAATTTTCTGCCTCTACCACACCCTCGCACACTCTACTCCTATCTGAAAAATCTGAAGGCCGGCTTCGGATTTGATGAAAATTTATTTGACATCCTCAAAGACAAGGTACGTTCAAAATTCTCTCGGAAGAGGCAGGGGGCCATGTTTTGTAGGCCACACTGGATCGACAGGTCCTTTCGCACTTTCGGACCCGGTATCTGGTTTGCATCATTCGTGTTGACCACTTATCCGCAAGGACACCTCCACGGCAGTACTCCTCTGTGAGCAACTGCAGGCAATTTTTACAAGTATAGGCTTCATTTCTTCCATTACAGTAGAGAGACATTGCGGCTGTATTGTGAAACTATTACAAAGAAATCTAGCACAAGAGACATTGCATATTTCTCATCATGCGAGAGTGCTTATAGTGGTTAAGGCCCCAAGAGAAGATTGGCTCTGATTAGCACAGCAGGAGGACTGGTTCTATTTCTTTGCAGTGTGCCGTGTACACAGCTGTCTTAGATTAGGCAAGTTTCTGCTATTTAACAGTTTTGTATATATACAGTAAACCAGCATTAACAATTGTTATCTACCTGGCCGTGTGCATACTCATACAGCTTTCTCCTGCATAATTTTTTAATCAAGAACTTTACAGCGCTGACAGTGATTGGAGATTCAACTTGGATTTCATGCTGCCAGTGAGTGACAACGTGTTCAACAGTCATTTCAGTGCGTTGCACCGGTATTAAGGCTGCTTGTTTTAAGTGGAGTGAAATATCTTGCATGACTATCATCAACCTTCCTGTGTTGCAGAGCAAATGTTTATGCTCAATGAAAGGCGCTCTCACGACGTCGTCACCTCCCTGCATGGCCACAAAGGTGTTGAACTTGGTCACACCTTTCTGTTCAAGTGTAAGATTCGCACAGCCGACGGGGTGCACACCAGCCCTTCGTCGGCGGTGATGAACCTGCTCTCGAGGAGTTGCATCTCTTGATTGTTGAGCTCCCTTCTGTCTCTGATCTTTCTCAGCAGCGCCGAGAAGGATGCACTCGCTTGCCTGATGGCCCGCACGAGAGGGAAGTAGTCGAGCTAATGCCACTTGATGGTGGGCCCGAAAGCCCGCCCACCTTGCGGCACCTCTTGTACACTTTATTGGCCCGTACGGGCGACACCTGTCGCAGGTCACCGCACATGACAACGTCCAAGCTGTTAGCGGTTCTTGTGCATGAAGTTCCGGATCTGCAGCTCGCTTCAAATGCTTGCTTTCAGCGTCGTATGCTCGTCTTTTCGCAGCTTTGTCTTCTGTGTTGCTTGCTGTCTGTTGTTAGCACCGATGACGGTGAAGTGGGTCAACCTTGCCCTCAACGAGTGTTGGGACGCTGATGTTGGGTTGTGCTTCACTACAGGTTGCATGTACTGTTGCTTCAATCGCATCTACTCAAGTCAAGCAAAGCGTTCAGTAAAATGAAAGCCAAGTAATTCAGCCTTGACAGAATTCCGAAATGCAACCTCCGCCGCCTAATACATACCGTCCGCATTCGAAGGAGAGAGAGTATGGGGGTGGGGTCGGTCGCGGGGAGACGAGACGAGGCACGAGACGTGCCGAGCATATGCAGTGTGGGTGTGGACGGCACCTACGCCGATGAGCAACATTCTGCGACTAAGAAGTGCTCTGCATTTAAAAGTGCCGCAGCTCAGGGTGTGCTTGACAACGAGGTCTCCTCGCTGTGGTTTAGCTGGCCCGCAGATCTGGTTTGCTGGACGATGAGACCTCTTCGGCTTTCCGGGCTGTCACGGCAAGGTCTCGGTGGCGAGCCCGAGCGGCAGTTGCGTTGCGAGCTCGCCACACAGCTGCTTTGGCTTGTAGGTTGCTCATGAGGCCTAGCAGAAACAAAAAGTGCCAACTAAATTGGCTAGAATGGGGCGTAATTAAGGGGCATCAAGGGAGAAGCTTGCAAAGCGCCACACGTTTCCCTTGCCAGACCAGAGTTATTCTTGTTTCTTATCCAGTGGCCGTTGTTATTTAACCGTACTAGTTGCGAAACTGCATTCCAACTACCCGACATGCAAATGACCCGGTTTTTCAGAAGTTAGCAGG